TCATTTATAAACACTAAATTCTATCACCTGCCATTATATTTCTTACTCATTTAAATGTGTTTTTTCTTATGTATGTTATAAACATATTTTATGACTGCCTACATAAATAAATAATTGTAAATGGAAAAAGAAACTCCACACACCATGCACTGCAAACACTATACACACCATATCCACTGCACACACCACACATGCTACATAAATGCCCCATATATATTACACACTTCATATGCCCCCCCTACACACACACATCATACATTTCACACACATTATACCACCCTATACACATGCGTGTTATGATTCCAGTTCCGGGGAACCCAATGCCTCCCTTTCTGGCCTCTGTGTGCCCTCATACATACACATGGTGCACAGACATACATGCAAGCAGAATACCCACATGTTTTATGTGTATAAAATAAAAAAATTTAATAGAAAAGTGCTAACCCCAATCCTTTTCAAATACTCTCCAAAATGTGATTTAAAAAAAAAAAATAACCCATAACTTCTTAAGAATAAGGATGCGGCTGGTTGTTGGTGGCGCACGCCTTTAATCCCAGCACTGGGGAGGCAGAGGCAGGCGGATCTCTGTGAGTTCGAGACCAGCCTGGTCTACAAGAGCTAGTTCCAGGACAGCCTCCAAAGTCACAGAGAAACCCTGTCTCAAAAGACAAAAAAAAAAAAAAAATAAGAATAAGAATAACAATGCAGTAGGTTGTAGTGACAAATGCCTAAAACCCCAGCACTCACTCGGAGTCTGAGACAAGAGGATCTCCAGTTCAAGATCAATATGAGTAGCTCAGTGGTTAGAGCACCATCTAACCTTCCTAACATTTAATCCAGTGCAGGGGAGGCTGAGGCAGGAAGATTCTGACTTTGGGGCCTGCCTGAGCTATGTAAGTGAGACCTTATCTCAGAAAGGGAGGAAAGGGAAGGAAGAGAGGATCGGAGTGAAGAAGGGAGGGAAAGGAGAGAGAACAGAACAGAGGTTCCACCCACACAAAGAACTTCAGGCAGCAAATCGTGCCGAGTGCTGGAGGAACCAGTCCTCCTCAGGGATGAGCGCCCTAGTGGGTTACCTAACGTTAGTGATCATCCCTGGTGCCATATACTCCCAAATGGCGCTCTGCATAGTGGGCAGGCTGCACTTATATATTTAGGGATGTGTGCTTGTGTGTGTGTGTGTGTGTGTGTGTGTGTGTGTGTGTGATAACAGTTTTTAAAAAGAGATCATGGTTTCTAGAGGGTGCAATGTAGGGTACACGGGAGGGACTGGAGGGAGGAGAGAGAAGGACAAGAAATGATATAACCTTTAATTAAGCAAATAAAAATAGAAACTTAAAGAAAAAAAGGAAAAGAGCAGGTGGCTGACAAGACGGCTCAGTGGGCAAAGGTGATTGCTGCCAAGTGTTATGACCTGAGTTCCATCCTCAGAACCCACATGGCAGGACAACTGATTCCCAAGTTGCCTTCTGACCCCAATATATTCATCTGACAGACACGCATACCCCAAGCCCCCTATCAAATAAATACATGTTAAAATGGCTTTTAAGGAACTCGAGAGATGGCCTAGCAGTTAAGAACATGCATTGCTTTTCCGGAGGACCCCAGTTTGGTTTTCTGGCATGTGCATCAGGCAGGTCTGTATTTCCAGATCCGATACCTCTGGTCTTTTCAGACACCTGTACATGTGCACACTCAAGCATGCACACAATTATAATTAATAGAATTTAATTTTCTTAAAACAGACTGTTTAGCTTTTTATTAAACCAAACTGTTCATTAGCATCCAAAAAATTCAAAATCTGCAAGACACCATATATGATCCGACTCTCTGCATATTTTCCATCTTTATATGGTTTATCTTTTTCATATTATTTTACTCTTTAAAAACAGTACTTATTACTTATAAACTGTTTTTTTTGTGACTATCTATACCCATTTTCTTTTCTTTTTTATGCCTACACCCCCCTTTTTGTTGTTTTTTTATTGTTGTTGTTGTTATTCTTATTGCTGTTTTTTGCTTTTTGTTTATTTGTTTTGTTTTGAGACAGGTTTTCTCTGTGGCTTTGGAGGCTGTCCTGGAACTAGCTCTTGTAGACAAGGCTGGTCTCCAACTCACAGAGATCCACCTGCCTCTGCCTCCCATGAGTTCGGATTAAAGGAGCAAGCCTACACACACTTTTTTAAACAAACTGTACCCTGTTTAGAGTTTTTTTTCCCCCACCCATCTGTCTTTACTGAGTACTTGCTGCATTCTCTCACAGCATGGGACAAATCTTAAACTGCCTGAGCTGCCTCATGGCTCAGGTTGTTACATGGTGCTGGCTCATGGTGATGGTGCCTTGTCACAGGCCTGGCTCCCGCCCTCAGGCAGTGGCCAGCAGTGGCACCTTCATATGCCACTGAGCACCAGTCAGCCTGAGAGACTGCAGGACTCAGAAGCTACATCCTGCTCCTTGTCCAGAACTTTCCTTAGCTTTCTCAGGCCCTATGTTTGGATATCCCAGCCCCCATGTGGATTTTTAGATGGATTTTTCTTTGAGCCACCAAGCTAGCCACCCTCCCCTCTCCCTCCCCCTCTCGCTCTCTTTCTGACACCCACACACACACACACACACACACACACACAAACTTATTAATTATGAAGGCTTGGCCTTAAATTAACCCATTTCTATTCAGCTACACATTGCCACATGACTCATGGCTTTAACCTCTCCTCCTATGTCTTGTTCCCTCTGCTTCTGGCTGGCTTCTGCCTCTCTTCTTCCCAGAGCCCTATTTGTCCAGAAGTCCCACCTATTCCTCCTGCCTAGCTATTGGCTGTTTAGCTTTTTATTATACCAATCATACTGACACATCTTCACACAGTACAAAGGAATATTCCACAACAAAGGGGGTGGAAAGATGGCTCAGTGGTGAAGACCACTGATTGCTCTTCCAGAGAGCACAGATTCAGTTCCCAGCACACACGCCAGGTCACAACCACCTGTAATTCCAGTTGCAGGGGAATCTGATGCTCTCCTCTGGACTCTGAGGGCCCCACACACATACACAGGCTAACAAAGCACCCATATACATAAAATAAAGAAAAAATAAAAAATAATGAAAATAAAATTAATTTTAAAAATGTTTCTTAAAAGGACAAGGTTGGGGGGCTGGAGAGATGGCTCAGAGGTTAAGAGCACTGCTTACTCTAGCAGAGGTCCTGAGTTCAATTCCCAGCAACCACATGGCGGCTCACAACCACCTTGAATGAGATCTGGTGCCCTCTGCAGGCATGCAGCCAGAACACTGTATACATAAAAAATAAAAATAAATCTTAAAAAAAAAAAAAAGGACAAGGGGGAAGGAATAGAAAGATTTGAACACAACATGACAATATGACCCACTAGTTATTCTGGCTGTAAACTGAAAAGAATGAAAAGTGAGATTCAGAAAGATATTTCTGTATACACATGCAAAGCAACGTTATTCCCATTTAGTCAAAATGAAGGCTCACTGCAGGTAGTCACCCATGGATGGATGGATGGATGGATGGATGGATGGATGGATGGATGGACAAATATGCCAGGCCAACAGCCTTTACTAGACATCCTCCTACAGGAATGAATCTTGAAGACATAAGTGAAACAAGTCAGATGCTAGAGGACAAACATTGTGTGGCCACTTATTCCGGATGCCTGGGATAGTCACATTCACAGAAACTGCAAGTAGCATGGCCAGGGGAGCCTGGTGTTTGGAGTGTAGACCTCCTAGATAGGGAGGGGGGCTGGGCAACATCGTGAATGTGCTTAATGTCGTTGTCCCCTATACTTCAAAATGACTAAAATGGAGCTGGGCAGTGGTGGCACGTGACTTTAATCCCACAACTCAGGAGGCAGAGGCAGAGGCAGAGGCAGGAGGATCTCTGGGCTTGAGGTCAACCAGGTTGACATAGCAAGCTCCTGTTGACAACCAGGACTATAGAGAGGGAACCTATCTCAAAAAATAAGATAAAATGGACTAAACTGTATGGGCCTGAGCATTCCTGTAATCCTGGCGCTTGGGGAGAGAATGAAGAGAGAATACCATGGTTTCAAGGCCAGCTGTAGCTATATTTTGAAACACTGACTAGACAGAAAACACAAACACAAACAAACACAGCTAAACCAGTAAGTACTTAGTAGTTTGCCATATTAAGAAAGCCAATTAGAAAATACAACATCTTGGAGAAAACAAAAGAGGATGGTGGTTCATGCCTTTAATCCCAGCATCCAGGAGGCAGAGGCAGGTGGATCTGTGAGTTCGAGACCAGCCTGGTCTTACAGAGCCAGTGCCAGGACAGCCAGAGCTACACAGAGAACCCCTGTCTTGAAAACCAAAAGAAAGAAAAGAAGAAGATGGAGAATGGGGAACTCGAAAGAGAAAGGAGAAGGGAGAGACTTACAGAGTACCGATTCTCAACCTAGATGGCAAACGGCCCTTTCACAGGGTCACATATCAGATATTTACATTATGATTCATAACAGTGGCAAACTACAGGTATGAAGTGGCAACAAAAGTGATGTTGTGCCCGGGGGCCAGCACAGCGTGAGGAGCTGTATTAAAGGGTGGCAGTGTTAGGAGGGCTGAGAAGCACTGCCCTAGAGGGATGCTGGGAGCCAGAAAGGAGACAAGTGTGCTGGAGAGATGGCTTAGCAGTTGAGAGCACTGGCTTTCCACCCCCAGTTCCCACATGGCAGTTCACACCTGTCTGGAATGCAAGTTCAGGGGACCCAGCACCCTTAGACTGACACACATGCAGGCAAAACACTAACACACATAAAATAAAAATAAATTTTGAAAAAAAAAAAAAGTTGCCAAGCAAGTCTGGAGCAGGCTCTGAGCCCCTTGGCTCATGCACTTCCTGTGTTATTTGGTGTCCTGGGTTCTTATTCACTGTCCCTGTGTGGTGGCTGGGGGGACACAATGTGGTAAGAGGCAGCATCTCAGACGTTCTCACTGATATGTGTTCTTTTCCAGTTCACCAAAGCCACTGACTGCACCCCCCAGAGCATTTACAAGAAGGACTATGTCGTCTTCCCAAACCACAGACCAGATGATATTACCAGGTGGTATGACATAAGGAAAATGGAGGTAAGTGACATTTATTAACAGGTGGCTTTGTGCCAGAGGCTCTGGGATCCTAGCACCTCCAGGTACAGGAGGGAAAGACACTTCCTACAGGAGTTCCTCTGGATGCCCCCCGCCCCAGGTTTGTGGTAGTGATAGCAAGATTGTCACCATTCATCCATAGGGCACAGTTGTGCTCTGTGCCACCACACTCTGAGAGTCCCAAGTAAGAACCCTGACTGTTTCGTTTGGCCAGCATATTGTCTCCCCCATCCCATGTGCCCAACACCTGTTTAAACTCAGGCGGGTGGCAAGAGAGAGTGAGGTGTGATTTGTGACAATCAGAGCATCTTAGTGTGGGGAGGGCCCCAAGAGACCAACTATTCAGAATCCAAAGGCAGGAAACAAATTCTTCCAAATTGTGTGGCTTGGTGGTGGGTAACAAACAGGGACTTTTCTGTAAATCACAATGTACATGGAATAAGGGAGCATATGTAATCTATGAAGTTATGACATCCTTTATTAGACAAACGCCAGCCAAACACAAGCCAGAGCATGTCAGGGGCAGCAAGGCAAGGAGTCCAGAAAACAGGGGCCCCCATGTGCCTTGTCTGTCCCTTTATATCCTATCTCCTGTCATCTTGACCTCACCTTGACCACACCCGTCAGGGCATGGTTAGGCGCACCTGTAGCCAGCTTCTAGAAGGCGTAGCTTACAATGTCCCCTACAATCCTCCTTTTATTCTAAAAGAGGATTAAATCTTAACAGTGTAAAGTATCCAAAATTAACAATCATAAAGGTGAAATACAAGAAGATACAACAATCTGCTTATGTCACGTCCTAACTATGTCTACATCAGCTAAACCCTAAAGTCATCTGAAAGAGATGTCCAAGCCTGAACATCTCCTTCCAAACCCAACCCTAAACAATAGGAAAGTAGCCCTAATTAGGTGTACATTATCCTTAGTGACAACAGTGGGGAAAGGGAGCATAATATTCTCCAAGTTACTTCCTGCTGAAATGGGACGACAGTAGCCTCATGGGGTCCTGTGGGAAGAAAATGTTAGTATGGTGAAAGTCTCTAATGGATTATATCCAGTTCATGTTAGATGGGATTTGATTGATTGAAGATCCAGGTTGAAATCCTCAACTTGATTGAAGTCAGTACCTGAAGCTCTGGTCGGAGTGTCAGTTGAAATGGAGTAAGTTGGATCCAGTGCAGTCTAGGAGGTTTGGCCCAATTTCCTTCCGGAGCGTCCAGGGATTGCTGTCAGGTGGGTCTTCATTGGCTGTGTGGGACTCAAACATGAGTGTTAGCAAAGAAATGTTTGCTTTTACGTGTATGCATGCTGGGAAAGGCAACCGTGGAAAAATAATGATTATGAGACAGTGTGCACCTTGAAGGAAAGAGCCAAGAAAGACAAAGACAGTCCCCAAATTCTTCTCTTGTTCTGTATTACATCAATTTGGCTTTTGATACAATACAGAAACTCTAAAGTTTAGTTAAACAATGAGCTTGGATTTTAGAGGAGGATAGCCAAATCCACCACTAAATCCACCATTGGTTTAATCGAATAGGGACTAGGAAAACAAAGGGAAATAGAGTTCTTTGAGAGACAGCTGTAAAGTTTACCATATGGCACATTCCTTTTGTTTGATGGTTATAGCTACCTTCTCTTCTTAAGCATCTACCCATGCAGTGTTAGACTTCTGGAGATGAGTTTTCCTGTCACTTGTCCTTGTCGAGAGGTTTGTCTTTTTCAACTGGAATCTTGATCAACCTTGATGGTATCCAAAGTTTTTCTTCTCCTGTGGAAACAAATGCAAAATCCCTACCCCAACATAACACATGTCCTGGCTTCCACACAGGGTTAGTATATCTTTTAAGTATACTGGCTGATTCAGTTCAGCAGTTTTTTCCATAGTCCAGTGTCTTTCTGCAGCTGTTTGTCCTTTTTCATTGGCAATAAGTAAGTTTAGTGTCAATAAAGCATTATGCAATTTATGTTGGGGGGGTTGTCTTCCCAGCCTGTCTATGGAGCATCTCCTTAAGTGTTCTATTAGATCTCTCAACCACTGCTTATCCTGTAGGTTTGTGTGGTATACCGATGACATGCTTTATGTTATAATATTTGAAAAACTGTTCCATTTTTTGTTGAGACATATGCTGGAGCATTGTCAGTTTTTATTTGTGCAGGTATACCCATAACTGCCACCACCTCTAGCAGGTGTGTAATAACAGAATCAGCTTTTTCAGAGTTGAGATCAGTATCCCATTGGAGCCCTGAGAATGTGTCTATAGTATGATGCACATATTTCAAATTTCCAAATTCTGTAAAGTGAAAGACATCCATCTGCCAGACCTCATTTCTCTGAATTCCCTTAGGATTACAGCCTGCTGGCAATGGAGTTTGGTTATAAAATGAACAAGTAGGACAGTTTCTCACTATCTCCTTGGCTTGTTGCCAAGTGATGGAGAAGTCCTTTTTCAAACCTTTGCTATTTACATGATGTTTCTTATGAAATTCTGAGGCTTCTAGCACACTTCCAATTAATAAATCATCAATATCGTCATTGCCTTGTGCTAGTGGGCCTGGAAGACCCATATGGGATCTGATATGTGTAATGTATAGAGGATTACTTCTGTTTCTGATTGTTTCCTGTAATTGTAGAAACAGTGAAGTTAATTCTGTATTATCAGGAATGAATTCTGCAGCCTCAATGTGTAACACGACTCTCTCTGCATATTGGGAATCAGTAACTATGTTAAGAGGTTCTGTAAAATCCATAAGCACCATGAGAATTGCATATAATTCTGCCTTCTGTACAGATGTATACAGACTTTGAACTACTTTACTTACCTCACCTGTTTTATAACCTGCCTTATCTGATTTTTTGACATCAGTGTAGAAGGTAAGAACTCCAGAAATGGGAGTTTGTCTTACAATACGTGGAAGAATCCAGACTGTCTTTTTTATTAATTTAATTCTGTCAGTTTTGGGATAATTGGTGCTAATCGCTCCCAAACAGTCAGTAAGAGCTATTTGCCAATATTCATTATCCTTCCATAAGGAGGAAATTTCTTCATTAGTTAAAGGTACTATAATTTCTGCTGGATCTTTTCCAGTCAGTTGATGAAGTCTTAATTTGCCCTTAAAATCAAATCAGAAATCTTTTCTATATTCTTTAACTTTTTATTGTTTATGTGGCAGGAATATCCATTCCAATATAGTGTCTTCCCTATGCATCAGAATTCCAGAAGGATATTATCTGGATGGCAAGATGACCAGAATAGTCTAAATCAAGGTTTATCCGATCTACATGCGCATCCAATATTCTGTTTTCTACCCATTGTAACTCTTTTTTCTGCCTCAGTGGAATATTCGTGGACTGTTTAGGTCCTTATCACCATTAGGGCCATTTTTAAATGCTTTAAGTCATGTCCTTCTACCCCAATAATTGTCTGTAATTGAGAAATTTCTCCTAGCAATTTCTGAAGACTATTAAGAGTTTGATAACGATCCCTTCTAATTTATACCGTCTGTGGCCTGATTCTTTGTAAGCCTATCTTATAACCTAAATAGTCAATAGAATCACCTCTTTGTATCTTTTCCGGGGCAATCTGTAACCCCCATCTAGGCAGAACTTCCTTCACCATGTCAAACATACATTCCAGAGTTTCCTTATTGGAATCTGATAAAAGAATATCATCCATGTGTTTCTAAAGGAGGGATTGTGAAAATTTCTTACAAATTATTTCCAAAGGTTGTTGTACAAAGTGTTGATATAAAGTAGGACTATTTAACATCCCTTTTGGAAAAACCTTCCATTGATATCTTCGAACTGGCTGTGAATTATTAAGAGTTGGTTCAGTAAATGCAAATTTTCAGCTGGGCGTTGGTGGCATTCCCTATCACTTTCTTGTAATGGTATAGTGAAAAAGCAGTCTTTCAGATCAATTACTATGATCAGCCATCCTTTAGGTATCAAGGAAGTCAATGGCATTCCAGGCTGTAGAGAGCCCATTGGCTGAATTACCTTATTTATGGCTCTCAGGTCTGTCAACATTCTCCAGTTACCTACCTTCTTTTTGATGCCAAATACAGGAGAATTCCAAGGGCTGGTAGATCCCTCTATGTGTCCAGCCTCTAGCTGTTCCTGTACTAACTTTTCTAAAGCCTCTAGCTTCTCAGAGGTCAAACGGCATTGCCCTACCCAGACAAGTTCATCTGTAAGCCATTTTAATGGCAGGGCCTTTGGCTCCTCTGAAGTTCTATCATTTGTATTTAGTTTCTGTACAGCCTGGATGGTTGGTAACTGTTTTCCATAATGTCTTACCAGGTGTTTTCTACTATCTAGAGATTGTACACAATTCATATCTGACAGTGGAGGAATATTAATCTGGGTATTCCATTGCTGTAAGAGATCATGACCCCAGAGATTTATAGCTATATTTGCCACGTATGGTTTTAGTCTCCCTTTCTGTCCTTCCGGTCCAATGCACCGAGTTAACAATCTGTCGAACTCTAGATAGAGTTCCAATTCCTAAAAATTGTACATTTGACTCCCTAAGTGGCCACTTGTGGGGCCAGGATTTTTGTGTAATAATAGTTAAATCAGCACCTGTGTCCAAAATTCCATTAATAACCTTATTATTGATTCTTTTTTGGGGGAGGGGGTTCTAGACAGGGTTTCTCTGTGTAGTTTTGGAGCCTATCCTGGCACTCACTCTGGAGACCAGGCTGGCTTGAACTCACAGAGATCCACCTGCCTCTGCCTCCTGAGTACTGGGATGAAAGGCGTGCGCCACCAACACCCAGCTCTATTATTGATTCTTACTTTGAGATGGTGCCTTTTATCACTGATGGAGATCTGCCAAAATATATGCTTTTTGTCTTGTCCAGTCTTATTTGATTCTTCATCGCTTGACAAACTACCATCTATAGCAGTGTCATCTTTCACAATAGACAAAGAACTATCTATTCGTCCTGTGAGAGATTGTCTTCCACTGCTACTGGAAATGACCGGACCTTTCTCCATGTGGGAGGCCTTCTTGAGGTCCCCTTTGGGTGCCAGCTAATAAGGGAGGATACGTAATCTGTAAAGTTATGATATCCTTAATAGATAAACGCCAGCCAAATGCAAGCCAGAGTGTGCCAGGGATAGCAAGGCAGGGAGACCAGAGAGCAGGGGCTCCCATGTGCCTTGTCTGTCCCTTTAAACCCTATCTCGAGTCATCCTGACCTCACCTTGACCACACCCTTCAGGGCATGGTTAGGCACACCTGTAGCCAGCTTCTAGCAGGTGTGGCTTACACTGTCCCCTACATACATGTCTTCTTCTTTTAAACTTTGGGGTTTTGTTTGTTTGTTTGTCCTGGAACTCACTCTGTAGCCCAGGCTGGCCTTGAACTCTGAGATCTACCTGCCTCTGCCTCTTGAGTGCCAGGATTAAAGGTATGCGCTGCAGCCATAGACTCCACCCCCAGCAGGCTTTTTTTAAACTTTGAAAAAACATTAACTTGTCCATTTGCTATGGAGGCATCTGTGCAGGTCTTGAGGTCAGAGAAATGGCTGCAAGAAATGGTTCTCTCCTTCACCATGTGGTGCCTGGGGAGTGACCTCAAGTCCTCAGGCTTGGCAGTAAGCAGCTTTAGCAGCTAAGCCATCTCTTAGGCCTTGAGGTATGACTCAGAAGGATTTTATTCTACCACACATGAAATTCTTATTTCAGTATGAACTGAAGTTCCCAATTAAAAAAAAAAAAAAAAAGCCTATGTTAAAGATTCTACAAGCCTGATGGCCTGGTCAGAACTTCCTAGTTGTAAGGGGTTGGAATATTGCAGATCTAGAAGCAAATTATTTGGGGCTATCTTTAGTCTTTTAGTCTTCTTCATAGCCGCTTATCACCTTTGTGTCCCACCTAACATCCTTGTTGAGATCTGGTAAAATTTTTCAAAATTTAATAAGTTAGGTTCTCTCTACCTGAAGATGAGAATGTCATCATCAGATAGCATCTGAGATTTCTCCACTTTGCTAAAACCTGCCTGCCTGGTCTTAAAAAAATAAAACAAACAAACCCCAACAACAAAACAAAACAAAACCTTCATGAGGACTAACTGGCCAGATAGCTCAGTGGACAGAAGGCCCGTGTCACCAAGACCTGAATTCCATGCCTGGAATGCTCTTAGGTGGAAGGAGAAAACCAGTTTCTTCAGGTTGTCCTCCAATCTCCACACGTTTCACACACACACACACACACACACACACACACACACACAGGCACACTCATATTCATGCACATACATAAACAACTGTTTGGCTTTTTTCACATAAATTTTTTTAAAAAAAGATTAAAAAGTGCTGGGATTACAGGCGTGTGCCACCACCGCCGATTTTTTCTTAATAAAGATTAATTATGCCAGGTGGTGTTCATGCAAGCTTTAATACCAGCAGTCGGGAAGCAGTAGTAGGTGGATCTTTCTGTGATCAGCCTGGTGTACAAGAGCTGTTTCCAAGAGTGCTTCCAAAGCAACAGAGAATCCCTGCCTCAAAAACCAAAACCAAAAAATAGATTACTTATATTAACACTTTATGAGGTTCCTTAAAAGATATGCTCAGTAAACTAAAAGGGATAATTAAGACTTCCAGAGATAGATTAAATAATAGATCATTAACTTTATATTTTTCAAATGTTCTGAAAAGGAAACAACATTATTGGGAGATATTAGATAAAAAAAGAAACTGCTAAATCAAAGCAACCTATATTCTTTAGAGATACCTTGAGCTCAGAATAAAAACCAACATATGTGTTACATCAAGGAGGAGGTTTTGCTTTTGTTTTCATGAGAGGGTGGGGGGAACCCAGTTACCATCAAAAATGATAAAGATTATTATATTCAAACAATAAAAGATTTCTTAAAACTTTAGTTCATCAAACAATATTGCCATTGAATCTAAACTAATTCATGGGACTAACAGATTTTTTTCATTGGATTAAATATAACTTGCCCAAACTAGAAATCTGCAAAGGTATGTTGAAGAAGGTTTTGTTTTGTCTTTCAAAAACATAATGTTCTCCAACGAAGGAATGTAAAGACCACTGGTGTCGTGGGGTTCTAGTACTGTGTCTGCTAGTCAAGAATATGTGTGTCACTGGGTTCTCCTTTTCGGGGACAGTTTTGGGTGTAGTAGTGGTACTGACTAAGATATTTTTACATGTCTAAAAGACATTTATTAACTATGTTCATTACAATCAGGATTCTGATTCACATATATGTTTGACCATTAATACCAAAAATATAGTAGAATGCCTTGGAATTTATGATGGTATGGATTATCTTTAGGCACAAGAAAAAGCAGGAAAAATAAAAGTTTAACATGTACAAGTCATTGGAAGCAAAGTTGTTAAAACAGGCTTCTCAAAAAATATAACTAGTGTTAAAAATTTCCTCACTAGCCTCTCTGTCCAATTTGAGGATAATCCACAATGTGTTAACTATTCCCAAATTGTGTGAAATTAAAGCTGAATACTTCATGTAATTTATCATAGGGCCTTAGGTGTGCCCCAGCAAAAATTTCATAGTCTAATAAATTCTGGTGTGAAAACGAAAAAAAAAAAGATTAAAAATAGGATTCCTTTAAAAAAAAAAAAAAACAAGAAATTATTTCTACATAAAACCGACTGTTCTTGGAGACCTGAACTTGTACTCCCAAGCCCTGTCCACTCATACTTAGCTCAAGAATAAATTATCTTTTTATTTCCTTTGAGATGCTGCCAGAGATGGCTGTCTTCAGCCTTTGGGAAAGTTCTATCACAATAAATAGTGTCACACTCGCTGTTGGCATCCCCAGACCATACACACATCTCTCTAGTCCACACTGCCATTCCTAGCTGTGTTGGTAACCCCGGACAGAGCACATTGCCAGGTCATGCTCTTTGGTTCCTGAACATCCCAATGCTTTCTGCATGGAAGACACAAAGATATTTTAACTGAAGGAAGTTAGAATAAGAACTTTAAGGTGTAGAGCATTGGGCAATCTTGTAAAGAGACCCTTGGACTCATTGCAAACCCCGACCCCAACTCATGGTTTAATACGGCTAAAATTAAAAAGTTCCAGAGGCGGGAGAGATGGCTCAGTGGTGAAGAGCCCAGGCTGCTCTTACAGAGGACTGAGTTTAGTTCCAGCACCCATGTCTGTCAACACACTGCCCTCTGTCACTCCAACTGCAGGTGGGAAGGATTGACCCCCTCTTCTGGCCAGCATGGGCATCCTCGTCCCCACTCTCAACACACATATACATACATATAAATAAAATAAAATAAAATAAATCTATACTTAAAAGTTTCCCTGACACCCCATGACCACTACACACAACCAAACAACAGAAACCTCTTCAAGATTTTTTCTGTTCCTAAGGGCTTATTCACCAAACTCCATCCCCCTCTCAGTTTAATAGCCATCCCTGGCCAGAGCTCTGCTGCCTCGTGTGACCATATGTGGCATTGCAAAACCCCTCCTCATGAGAACCAAAGGTTCTAAGTCAGTTTGCCATGGTATCAGTTTGTTGTTGTTTTTGGTTTTGGCTTGTTTTTCTGAGACAGCAGGGTCACATGCAGAACCAAAAGAAATGCCAATAAAACCCCTGCTGGAGCTGGGCAGGGGTGGCACATGCCTTTGCTCCTAGCACTTAAGAGGCGGAGGCATGCAGATCTCTGTGAGTTGAGGCCAACCTGGTCTCCAGAGTGAGTTCCAGGGCAGCCAGGACTGTTTCACAAAGAAACTCTGTCTTGAAAAACAAAACAAAACAAAACAAAACAAAACAAATCAACCAACCAACAAACAAAAAAATCCAGCTGGCCCCTCTCCTGCAGGCCTGCCACCCAGGAAATGTCACCAGCTCACTGGCAGGGTTAGAAAGGGACTCCTGGCCCGTGGTGGTACTGTGTGCATGGTATTCCAGCCCAAACTCTTAGTCTCTCTCTGGCATTGGGCTCTGGCTTATTTATGGAACCACCCTTTGAAGTCTGGGGTGCGGGATGTCTACACATGCCAAACCAACCTCCTTTCAACCAGTCCAGCTCCCTAGTATTCCCTTCCAAGCCAGGAACCTGTCCTTAGGAAAACTCTGGTTTCAGAAAGGCATCCCAGACAGAGAAAAGCCACAGTTTTCTCCTTCCTGGTAAACAACTCCTGACCAAAGAAACAGCTCCTTGCTTTGCAGCAGAAGGGGCTGCATAGTAACTGAAGGAAATAGGAGGCCCCAAGGCCCCTTCCCTTGGAAACAGACAATTGGGGGAATAAGGCAAGACTGAACCAAAGGGTGTAATGTCAGATCCCAAAGCTGCACCCTGGGGGGCCTGGGTGGGCAGTTTCCATGTAGTCCAGCATCTTGAGTTTAATTTTAATATACCATGGTAGCTCACCCTGGGGACGAATGGACTTGGCCAGAGACTTGAAACCAGCCAGCTGGGACACAGAAAGAGGAATGTCCTGGTGGGGCAGACAGTTCTGTGGCCCTTGGAGGTCTCTGGTGACCAGTGAAGGCTCACTCTTCACTGGTGTGTCATCCTTGAGAGGTGATTGTTGCCACCATCCTGGGCTGGAAGGGACACTTTGCTCTGATGGGTGATGTGGCCACTGTGTGTGTCCTCCCAGGGTCTCCCGAAAAAGCACCTGATCACCCACCACCAGGAGCCCTCGTACCGTTATCTGATCAGCACCTATGATGACCACTACAACCGGCACAATTATAACCCGGGTGTGCCCGCCCTGCGTACCTGGAATGGACAGAAATTGCTTTGGCTGCCAGAGAAGACTGACTTTCCTCTTCCTGGTACTTTTATAATTGGAGATTTTCCCTGTGTGGCTCTATAAGGGAACTGCAAATGCACAGGGCTGAGATGTGCTCCCATCACAAAGACCTACAGGAATGGTGGGGTGAGGTCACAGGAAAATGAGCCCTACTTGTTGTTCGGGACTAGGACTGCACCTGCCTTCTTCCCTTGACATCAGGGATAACCCTGTAATGACAGCCTCACCTGTATGCTAGGACCAGAGGTGGCTGGAAGGAACACATTCTCTACTCCTACGCCAGGCATTCCCTCTAGGCACAATGACTCAATCTTCCTTGGGGCTCCTGGGGCACATAGTCGGGACAAGCACAGAATGCTTCTGCCCTCAGGGAATTGATGATCCAAGAAAGACACAGACTTATTAATAAATTAGGTGGAGTAAAAAATTAATAAATTAGGGTGGAGTAAAAAAATAATAAATTAGGGGTGTGTATTGTACAAAAAAATAAAACAGGTAATGGGCAGAATAGTTTAGAACTTTGTTTGTTTGTTTAGTTTTTTGAGACAGAGTTTGTCTGTTGCCCTGACTGTCCTAGAACTAGCTTTCTAGACTAGACCAGGCTGGCCTCAAATTCACAGAGATCGGCCTGCCTCTGCCTCCTGAGTACTGGGATTAAAGGCGTGTGCCACCACTGACTGGCTTTGAGGATTTTTTTTTTTTATGTCCTCTCTGGCCTCTACTCACACAGGCAGCCTTTTGTTGTTGCTGTTTGCTTGTTTGTTTTTATGTATACAATGCTCTGCCTGCATGCCTGCAGGCCAGAAGAGGGCACAGATCTCATTATAGATGGTTGTGAGCCTCCACATGGTTTCTGGGAATTGAACTCAGGACCTTGGGGAGAGTAGCAGCCAGTGCTGCTCTGGGCCATCTCTCCAGCTCACAGCCTTGGCTCTTGACAGCCTGGAAAATGTGGCAGCAGTGTGAGACATTTGTGCCTCCTGTTTGCTGGTCCTTGGGCCTTACCCCGGCAGCTCCTAGAAGTGGTGTCTCTATTAGCATGACAGTGCCAGGGTAGGCAGCTGCTGTGGCATTCCAGAACCAGATGGGTATATTGCTCTGGTGGCTGATGGGACTACCGTGTGTTCTCATAAGCACTATGTATAAGACGCCTGGAAGCCCCGTGTCACCTCAACCTGGTTTCTCTTGCAGCGCCCCCCACAAACTATGGACTGTTAGAGCAATTGAAGCAGAAGTGGCTTGTGTCCAAGACTGGCTTGAGAGAAAGCATTTATACTACTTCCTACCCCAGGCTGCCGGCGTGCACTATGTCCAGGAGGGAGCATGCCATCCGGGTCCCTCTCCCTCGACTGCAACCCATCCCACGGTCGTGAGAACAACCACTGCATTTGCAGTCCAGCCAGGGCCAGCAAGAGAGACCCACAACCTCATCGGACTTGTCAGAGAGCAAGCATCTGCAGATGTAGCCCAAGAAATAATTATAGACTGTTGTTGTTGTTGTTGTTGGTGTGTGTGTGTGTGTGTGTGTGTGTTGGGGAGTATCTTGGAATTATGATCTGTATTTTATGGTACCTTTTCTCTAAACTCATTGTTTTTGTTCCCACCCCATAATTAAAGCTCCTTTACACAACTGCAAAACTACAAAGCCCAGTGTGTACAGAGGCCAAGCTGACACTGTAGTAGGAGAAAAGTGGAAGAGTCCTTAGCCCATTGCGTTTCTGGTCACTGTGACCAAGTATCTGACAGACAATAACTTAAGAGAAGAAGGCTTTGTTCTGGCTCACAGTTCCAGGGGTACAGCCAGCCCATCATGCTAGGACAAGGCATGGTGACAGAAGCAGGAGGCAGCTGGTCCCCTTGGAGACTGAGTCATGAGTCAAGAATCAGGTGGCTTCAGTCGTTCACCTCTTTTTGTCTCAGGATCCCAGTCCATGAAATGATGCCACCTAAGGTTAACTCAACCTAGCTCATCACCCTCAGACATGCCCCAAGACTTGTCTCGTATGTGAGTCTACAGCTAGTTAAGATGACAATCGATATTCACTACTGCAAAGGCCTTGAAAAGTTTACCTATTTAGCCAGGCATTGGTGGTGTGCACCTTTAATCCCAGCACTCGGGAGGCAGAGGCAGGTGGATCTCTGTGAGTTCGAGGCCAACCTGGCCTCCAGAGTGAGTGCCAGGATAGGCTCCAAAGCTACACAGAGAAACCCTGTCTCAAAAAACAAAAACAAAAACAAAAACAAAAAAAACAAAAAAAAAAGTTTACCTATTTATTTGTGTTTGTGCCTGCTCACACATGGAGGTCAGAGGACAACTTTTGGGTTGGAGAAGTGTGCTGATGCAAAGGGACAGTCATTGGACATTGTCCTCTGCCTCGGGGTTCTCAGAAGAGGGCTTTAAGGAGATTGGAAAACATCCTGGGGTTGGAGAGATGGCTCAGTGGATAAGAGCATTGGCTGCTCTTCCAGAGGATCAAGGTTCAATTCCCAGCACCCACATGGCAGCTCGGAACTGTCTGACTCCAGTTCCAGGAGATCTGACACCCTTGCCCAGACATACATGCAAACAAAACACCAAGGCACATAGACATCTCCATTTGTCCATCCATCAATTTACTCATCTCTTTATAAAAACAGATTTTTCTCCAACTCTATATCCATTCATGCATACATACATCTCTCTGTCCATCCATCCATCCATCCATCCATCTATCCATCCATCCATCCATCCATCCATCCATCCATCCATCCATCCCAGCAAAGTCAGTGCAACTGGCTTCGCTAGATTAGCTAATGTGGTCTCCCACCCAAACAAACAGCAACTATTTATCTGTTTTGCAGAAAAATAATGAATAGAAAATTGTTCTTAGATTTTTGCAACAGAAAGCAAAATAGTTGAGCTCAGCATCTGTTGAGGATTGAGCATGACATCTGCCTGGGGGACTGAGTCTCTCACCGTCTAACCATCACATTCCACGGTTCAGAATCATCGGGGCCTTATCTGTTTCACAGGTGAGGAGGAAATGCACACATTGAGATTCACTGAAAGGCAATAGGGTTACACAGTTGGTGAAGCCCAGCACCAGACACTGAACCCAGACAAGAGGCCGCAGTGTACTTGTCCCTTGTGCCTCTCCACAAGATCCCTGGGGTCCTCTCCATGCTTGGCTCACAGGCCTGTGTGTGTCTGTGATTTTATACTGCAGGCGAATAATTTGACTCAAAAGTCCAGAGCCTGACTTTGTGTCATCCCTTACATAGGATACCGGCCAGCCACCAGCCATCTGCTCCAAGGTAACCTCTGTACCTACTCGGACTCCTTCCTTATTTTTCCAAGTATCCAAAAGTTAGACACTGACACATGCTAATGGCTTGATAAATGTCTGTTGAATGACATCCACAATGGAGAGATCTGATCCAGCTAGGTAGGGCCAAGGAAGATTTCCCTGGGGAAAGATGTTTAGGTCAAAGTGATAAAGCTGAGGGGATGGGCGGGGGGATGAGGGGGGAGGATGACTCAGATCACAAGAGCAAGCAGAACACTGGCTGGGCGTTGTGGCCTTTAATCCCAGCAGAGGCAGGCGGATCGCTGTGAGTTCCAGGCCAGCCTAGTCGACAGAGCGCGTTCCAGGACAACCTCCAAAGCTACAGAGAAACCCTGTCTCAAAAATAAATAAATAAATAAATAAATAAATAAATAAATAAATAAATAGAACACTCTATCAGAGTCAGTTGCTTGGCAGCTATGGAAAGTTCAGCATTATCAATTTGCTATAGCTGCTGTAACAAACCACCACCCACCACCCCCAATGCCTTAAAGGGGTGTGCACCTATGTTCTTGTGGTTCTGGAGACGGGAAGCACTTCCAGAAAACAAGGGGTCTAGAGGGTTACATTTCTTCTGCAGGTTTTCAGAATGAATTCTTCCCTTGTGTGTCTCCCCCTAACCCCAGGCCAGGGACACCTATACCCAGAATTCACAAGTTCACAGTCCTCTTTCTTCTGGGGGAGAGAGAATTGACCTTAGCTTCTGGAGACTTTGGTTGCCTAACAAATATATGTGCAGTGCCTTCGGGCTTCTGTTGCTGTGGTATTTCATCATGGAAGGCAGTCAGAACACAAACGCAAACAGGACAGGAACTGGGAGGCGGAGCTGATGCAGAGGCCACGGAGACATGCTGCTTACCTGTTTGTTCCTCATAGCTTGCTCAGCCTGTTTTTTGTTTTTTGTTTTTTGTTTTTTTTTTTTAGAACCTAAAACCACAAGCCCAGGCACGAGATTACCCACAATGTGCTGGGCCCTCCACCAGCAATCACTAATTAAGAAAATGCCCTACAGGTTTGCCTGCAGCCTGATCTTCTGAAGGTATTTTCTTCTATGTACCCCTGACTGTCCTGGAACCCTTAGACCAGGCTGGCTTCAAACTCAGAGATTCACTTGCCTCTGCCTCTCTGAGTGCTGATATTAAAGGTATGCACCACTGCTGCCTGGCTGCAGGTTTTATTTTGTTTTGCTTTGTTTTGCTTTTTGAGACAGGGTTTCTCTGTGTAACTGTTGGACCCAAAAGTGAAGTCCAACAGAGCAAGGCATGGTGACAGAAGCAGGAGGCAGCTGGTCCCCTTGGAGACTGAGTCATGAGTCAAGAATCAGGTTTGGAGGCTGTCCTGGAACTCGCTCTGTGGACTAGGCTGGCCTCAAACTCACAGAGATTTTATTCCAACGCATTGCATCGAGCTTGTGTCCTGTGAGTGACTCTGTGGGGTGTGTCTCCCAGAGTTGGATTTCAGGAGGCAGCTGGTCCCCTTGGAGACTGAGTCATGAGTCAAGAATCAGGTTTGGAGGCTGTCCTGGAACTCGCTCTGTGGACTAGGCTGGCCTCAAACTCACAGAGATTTTATTCCAACGCATTGCATCGAGCTTGTGTCCTGTGAGTGACTCTGTGGGGTGTGTCTCCCAGAGTTGGATTTCACTTTTGGGTCCAACATAACAACCCTAGCTGTTCTAGAACTAGCACTGTAGACCAGGTTGGCCTCAAACTCACAGAGATCCACCATCCTCAGCGTCTCAAGTGCTGGGATTAAAGGTGTGCGCCAACACCACCAGGCCTACCTTCTTTTTTTCTTTTTTCAGGCCTACCTTCTTAATTGGGGCTCCTTTTGATGACTTCAGCCTAGTTGACAGAAAACTGGCCAACACAATACATTTTAAGAAAAGTCAGGGATTAATCTGACTTGATGTAAGGCACATGCAGGAGGCAGGAGGCAGGAGGATCGCTATGAGTATACCCAGACGTACATAGTAAGTACCTGGCCAGCTGGAGCTGTGTAGTAAAACCCTGTCTCAAATGGCCTGAGATCTGGTTGACCAAGATGGGATTTTCTCTCATTCTCCTCCAGGGAGGCACTTTTTTTTCTACTCCCAGGCTCTATTTTGGCCAGCATCAGAATGCCCTGGGGTGGGGGGTGGGGTGTTGGGTGTGTGTGTCTGTCACTGGCTCACTGCTAAATCTCTGGATCTGTAGGATAAAGGTGAGTCACTGCTGTTCTAACAAATCTTCCAGAGGCTGCCACTGCGTCACCACTTCTGAATCACTCTTAGAGGCCAGGCTTTCCTCTGTTTATGTGGTGATATATTGTTTATGATTTAACAAAGCTTGCCTGGGGGTCAGAATGCAAAGCCAGCCACACTAGTTAGCTATAGACGCTGGGCAGTGGTGGCCACACACCTTTAATCCCAGGACTCAGGAGACGGAGGCAGATGGTGAGGACAGGATTGCCCCAGCCTGGGTAGAGGGGGATTGGCTGCTTTGCTTTCTCTGATCTTCAGCTTGAACCCCAATATCTGCCTCTGGGTTTTTATTATTCCAGCTACATGTTTATATAAATGATAATTTCTGTCTCTTACACAGTGAAAAAAGTAAGGGCTAAAGATGGAGCACAGCAGATAGAGTGCTTGGTCAGCACACCTGGAAGCTCTGGGTTCCATTCCCAGCACGATATAAATTGACAGAGGTATACAAGGCGGTCCTAGTGCTCAGCTTCGGGAAGCAGGAGACTCAGAAGTTCAAGGTCTTCTTTGTCTGCACAGTGAGTTTGAGGCCAGCCTGGGCTACATGATGTTATTATGGGTAGCTCACCACAGATGACCACTGAGACAAAGTTTATAGCCAAGTTTTTAGAGGCAGAAACTGCAGCCTGACATCTTGCTTGGACTTCTTGCTCTGCAGCTACAGGGTGGGTGGGGCTTTGTAGACGTCAGCAGTTTAATAATCTGTTAGCTGGGGCGGGGGCAGTGGGGAGCTGGGTCAGCACAAACAGGCAGTTTAACAGAAGCTGAAACAAGTTAGCTAGGACATCCTAACCTTTGGTTCCCA